TCATTTACCATTTTTTTAGTAATAGTAGTTTATAACCTAATAAAATACGAAAATTAAATTACATTTAATTCATATACAAAATTTTAGAGATTTTAAAAATTTTATATTTTATTGAAATATATAATTAGGTTAAAATGTACTAAAAAAATTATTTTGTATCTTTTTATTAAGATTTTGTTTCAGCTAAATAAAAATTGAATTTATTATTTCATAATAATTTAGTGTTGATTCTTACTTTTTTTTTTTATTCTTGAACTGAATTTTTTTGTATTAATTTTGACTTAATATTTTTTTATATGAGTTATATTTTGCATTTATCATAGATATTTATGGCTCTGTCCCTGACAATATACATTTTTTTTTGGGAATTTTTTATGTTAAATGGACTTTATATATCAAATATAATATAATAAATATAAATGTGTTATATAGTGTGATTGGTTATAAGGAAAAAAATTAGAGTGCTTAAAGTGTCCAGCCTGAGCAAAATTTCTGGCTCCGCCCCTGATAGAGATTAATAATGTTATTTTCTTGGAAGACAAGTTTCTTCAGATTTTTTAGAGTATTTGTGGCCTTCCAACTATTAAAAGAAGAGTTTTTTTTTTTCAGATAAGGAGAATTGATAGAGATTGAAAAGGGATTGGATGAACTTAAATTTAATAATTGAATTTTATTATTTGTTTTAGTATTATTTTATTAATTATGAAATATTTATTTGACTAGGAGTATTAATTAGAGTTTGACTAAGAAATTATTATAGAATTTTAATTGAATAAGAATTTGAGAGTTAATTATAAAACTCTTAGTATTTTAGTAGGAGAGTAGTTTTTATTTTAGCAGGGGAATTGACCTATAGATAATCGTGTAATCCTAATTATTTTTATTTGAGAGTAATTTTTATTTTAGTAAGGGATTTGACTTATAAATAATTGTGCAATTCTAACTATTAGAGAGAGTGATATCATAAAAAGTGATTTTTCATGGAAAATTTGTGTGTTTCTTTACCGATTCCTTGCAAGAATGAGGTAAACTCTTTCCACTCTTCTTCTTTCTTCTTCTCTTTCTATTATGTGATTTTTAGTCCTTCCCGTCCTACATCAAAGGCACTTCTAGTTCTATCCTTGGGGAACTTTATCACCTGACTTGCTATCAGTTTACTTCTCTTGAACAATCTTAAGCATTCAGCTTACAAAAAGGAAAGTTATCTCGCAAATTGCTAGTGAGATTCCATTTTTTTCCCTTTTCCGTCTTCTTAGGAATCAATACAACATTAGGAAAAGCTCGAGTCTTTTTGAAAGTGGTTAAAAGGAAGTTGCAGAGGGAAAGTCCTTCTTCTAGTTGGGGAACAAAGGCTTGGTTTGAACTCGAGCAAAAAAAACTGTAATATAGCATTGCAGTAGCATTAAGGTAATAATATTATTGCAGGAAGTGGCAGGCTTAATACAGGGGTCAAATTTGCTTGATCAACACCAAGAGGACATTACTTCCACCAAGTTGACATAGATGATGGAAGAGAACAGTCGATCATGGAGACAAGCGGAAACAAAAAATCACATGTCAATTCAAAACGCACCAGATGATGTGAATCTTGTATTGTCCATCAAAGAAAAGATGGAAGATGTTTCTCTCCTAAGTTGTATCTGCAGAGTCTCAGAGGGAAGTTCTGAGGACAATGAAAACATGTACTTTCCGAAATTTGTCTCAATTGGCCCTTTACACAATAAAAACGACAGTTTGAAAGCCACGGAGGATCAAAAGTGGCGATACCTTAATGCACTTCTCGGTCGAAAACCAAATCTGGAGGCAAGGTTGGATCATTGTGTGAAAGCACTTAAAATTTTGGAACAAAAAGCTCGGAAATGCTATCAGGAAGAAATTGATATGCAAAGCAATGAATTTGTAAAGATGTTGTTACTTGATGGTTGCTTCATCATTGAGTTCTTCCTCAAATATGCCATCAAGGGTCTGAGACGTAGTGATGACCCATGCTTCAACACAAGAGATAGATTTTTTCGGCTGAGGTGTGATTTGATCCTACTAGAAAACCAGATTCCTTTCTTCGTTCTTCAGCAACTATTTCACCTTGTTCCGATTCCCAGACAATGCAGTCAGTCCCTCACTGAGCTCGCCTTGCATTTCTTCAGAATAATTATTCCTGGAGATATACAATATTTTCAAGAGAAGTTTGGCGAAGAGTATTTCAACCACTTGCTTGACCTAGTCCGCCAGTGTTATCTCCCAACATATCTTGAAGTCCAGTTCAGTGGGGAACAGAAAATTCTGTATTGTGCGACAAAGCTTAAAGAAGTAGGGATTGGCTTCAAGAAGGCTACCACTACCACCTTGTTGAACATTAAGTTTGTTGATGGAGTGATAAAGATCCCGCCTTTCAAAATTCAAAACCATACGGAAATCTTATTCAGGAACTTCATCGCAATGGAGCATTGTCACCTTGATTGCACAAAGTATATCACATCGTATGCCATCCTCATGGAGCAGCTCATCTGTTCTGACAAAGATGTGAGATTACTTCACCAAAGACGAATTCTCCCCAATGGTTTAGACAAAGGGGAAGAAATTCTTGCTCTGTTCAAGAAGCTCCATGTGAACATAGATGTGAAGGACTTCTATTATAGGAGCCTTGGTGAGCAAGTCCATGGGTATGAAAGAACCAAATGGCATCAGGTATGGTGGCAGAAAATAAAGCAAACTTTCCCAAAAATCTGCTAGGGTGATTCATTCTTGCATTCTTGTTCCAAGTTCACAATTTAACAGACTTTATTTTCTGTAATCTCATTCTCACTACATTTTCAGAGAAGAGAAGTCAATTTCTCCAAGTTCTACCTGTATGATGGTTTTCCTGAACTTGTCAACTGGTTTTAATCTTAAGTTATTAGTTCACAGTTTGCCTTTAAGGTGATTATGCAGCATGATGCACAACCAATTACATATTTAACCCTTTTTTTCTTTTTTCTTTTAATAATTGTCAGGTGTTTAGGTTAGTTTATGCGCAACTTGATTAACTCTGCTGGGCCAGTCAAAGACAAGTTATTTATGTTGGGATTAAGGTATTAATAAAAAATAAATTTTTTGTAGCCTGATTTTAAAGAGTTATTAAAATTTAAATTCATGACGTTTGAGTGTACGTCATATCTGAGTTTATATATAGTAATAAGTCTTCATCGGTTTAATGTTGTCTTTCTAAGGATATTTTTTTATGAATTTGGTCTTTTCTCAAGAAGAATTGCTTAGTCTACTAGTGGAACAAGGTCCCAAACCTCTCAACCGACATACGATAAGGCATGACACACCTTCAAGTCTTACACCACTAAAACGTCGTTTTGTCCATGGGTTTTTTGAGCCCATCAAGATTGTGCATCATTTGGACTACTCGATTCCATGTAGTTATTTTTCATTTGGGGTTAAGGAAAAAAAATGATAGAAAGTAAAGTGAAAAAAAAAATAATAATAAAAAAATATATTTTAATACATATATTTGGTTAGAATAAAAATTTTACGAGAAAGTTTTAAAAGAAATTTATTCTATTGTTTGAAAGAAAAAAAAAGTTATAAGAAATTTTTTATAATTGTCAAAACAAACTTTAATTATATTAAATCAGTCTAAAAAGAAAAAAATTATATAATTATAATTGAAAGTTAAAAAATTTTAAAAAAGTGACTCAAAACCTAATTTTAGTATAATCATCAACACAAGTGTCTTTAGGTCAAATTATATGATTAATCAAATTCATACCAAAAATTTTTAAAATTAGTAACTAATAAAATATTTTAAGAAAAATAAGGGTAAAATAAGAAGTTAGTTATAGATCACAACTTTCTTACATTTCCTTGAGTTTTTTACAAGAAAAAAAAGTTGGTTATTTGTGAGAAAATTCAAACATGAAAGAAAATTAATTTTTTTATCATTTTCCTTTTTATGCTAATCAATCACATAAAAATTTTAATTTTAATTTTTTTTTTTACATTTTCTACCGATCTCTCGCTAAACAAACGAATCATAAAAGGAAAATGAGAGAAAAATAAGCGTATGAAGTTCAATAGAGTGGATGTCCTACATTACTTGTAACTCCAGCAGGGAATAAGAAGCTAGCACTCCAGGGACAATGAACGGTCTTAAATTTAAGGGGTATATTTTATGTACATCCCCTAACATTTGGTTTTATTACATTGACATCCTTTCACATTTTAAAAATTTCACTAAGACCCCTTTACATTTAAACACTTATAACAACCAAATTGCTTGGATCACAACTAAATATTTTATAAAAGATTTTTTCTATTGGAGCGTTGTATGCGCCAATTGCCATCTTATAAGCTAGTCGAGGAAATACAAAAAATTGAAAAACAATAATGATAATCCATTGAACTATCGTCTCAATTTTAATTGGTCTTCTAATTATGTATGTGACTAACAACATTATGAGAAGTGGTTCATGTCGTATTATTATAGGTTTGTTTTGAACCTTAATCAATTCTAAAATGAAACCTGAATTGATCATTGACTGTCAAATTCGAATCGATACGATGTCATTCTCTCTCAACTAAACAAACTTATTAATTATTGACACCCATTAAAATAAAAAAATTTTGTGTTAATATTTTTTGATGGACTCGTTTACGTGTTTCTCGATTAATCCTTTCTTCAATCTGATCAAAAATATATTTGATTATAAATTCTAATGTGACAGATATATATCTGCACAGACCAATCAAATAATTAATATATTCAAAATGATTGAATTTATAATTCATTTCAATTACTACTTAAATTATCTGTAATATTTGTCGTTGATGGTAAGCCCCCACACAACACAACCATTCGTCACGATTTTATCCTGTACTGTCGGAAATCAGGACATTCAGCATTGAACACTACAAAGGAATTTCTCAATCATGTGGACCCCATGTGATACGAACTTCTCCCTCTATATCCACCGTTCAATGGTAATTTCTGTGCTTTTACATACAATTAGATGATAAATCAACGGCTGTAAGAAACAGTTGGCTGATTTCAGGTAGATATTGCTCATCACCCACTATCATCTCCCTCATAGAAAGCTACTAGCATTGCCTTTCGCCTTTTTTCTCGCACGTTGCACCATTGGAGGTTCTGGTTTGCCTCACCTCGATAGATCCAGATTTCGACAATCCACAGAGAGAGAGAGAGATATGGAAGTAGAGAGGAGAGTTGGTGTGGCCGTTGATTTCTCAGTATGCAGCAAGAAGGCGCTTAAATGGGCCGTGGATAACGTTGCCCGGAAAGGGGATCACCTTATCCTGGTTGCCATACTCCCCGAAGGCAATTATGAGGAGGGAGAGATGCAGCTCTGGGGGGCCGCCGGTTCTCGTATGATCTCTTTCATTCTCTCTCTCTCTCTCTACCCCCCTTCTAAATTTGTATAAGTGCTGTATGTATGTGTATTATGTGTGTTTATGTTCTTCTAAATTGTTATTTTTGTCTGCTTGGTGAGGTTGATATTGATATGACTAAAAGGGTCAATGTAAAGTTCTAGTATGTAGGATTGTTGAACGAGTATAACGGTTTGGATAGCACTATGAAAAGAGATACTATACACACACACAACAAAAACAATTTTTAATATGGATTTTGAGGAGAATAAGCCAAAAATGGTAGTGGAGTAATAAATTTAATGGCACACACATGTTGCTGCTGATGGAAAACTTACAATCTTTTGAGGGTCATACAACATGGGTTTGTGTTGTTCTCTTAATTTATCAGTTATTGGTACATGTTCATTTATGGCAATTGTCAAGATATAGTTTGGACATATTGTCATTGGTTGCATCCTGTCCTGCTTATGTGTTGATGATTATAGTTTTTTGTTAGGTGTTGATGATGTAGATTACTAATGATGAAATCACATGAAGATGAATGAACATTTAGACAGCATCATCTAACCGCGTAGCCCTTACTTATGAGACTTTACTGGATTGATTGCCACCAATGACAAGCGATACTGTGAGGTGGCTTTAAGCACTTGTTCATCAGTTATAGGTCATAAGTGTACCTTTGTTTTCAAACTTAATTGAGTTAATGCTTTTTGATCTAGAGTTTGGTAACAGACTATAGCAGTTTGTCTACACAGTCCTCTGCTTTTAGGAATTGTTGGTACATTTATCTAATTGATTTTTTTTTTTTTTGACAGCTTTAATCCCTTTAATTGAGTTCTCTGATCCCCACGTCATGAAGAAATATGGGGTGAAACCTGACCCCGAAACATTGGACATTGTCACTATAGCATCTCAGCAGAAAGAGGTAATTGGATTCCTGACCTTTAAAGTTCCTCAAGAAATGTATTTTGTGCAATTGTCGTAAATATTTGTTCATGTCTGTGAGAGCAGATTGAGGTGCTGTTGAAAATATACTGGGGTGATGCTCGGGAGAAGATATGTGAAGCGGTTGATAAGACTCCCCTTGACTGCATTATTATAGGGAACAGAGGGCTTGGCAAGATCAAGAGGTTCAACTCTTTCTAGATTTTCTTTTGGTTATGAAGGGATTTCTTACTTTGTGATGCTTTGTCAATATAGTTTTTGGTCTGTCTCTCTTTTTTTTTGTTTGACACTTTTGCCAAAGCTGTGGATGCTTGTACTGAAGTCATTTTAAGAACTTGTGTTATAAGGTCTCAAATAGGCTATGATTGAGGTCTTGACCTGGGCATATTACCAGTTGGGACTAATCAATATTGATTTTGTTTTATTTTATATCTGCAGGGCTATCTTGGGCAGTGTTAGCAACTATGTGGTGAATAATGCTTCTTGTCCTGTTACTGTGGTGAAGCATGTGGATCATGAATAGTAATTCGCCCAATATATGTCGCAACTCAACTCCCCTCGTTGTATAAAAACCTCTTATCTTATGGGCTTTAGAGTGTGTATGAATTAAATAATCCAGCTATTTGTTGCTTAGTGATGAATCTTGATTGATGTTTGTGTGTATATTGGTGGAAGTTTTTACTGGTGTATGTTGTTGTGTATGCTAAACTCACTACCCATGGTGGTTATTTGTTCCTGTATCCCTGGACTGATGAGGGAATAAAATTTTGTAGACTACCTCAAATTCGAAGCAACTCTAAAGCATATTGGTTGATGTTGGGCTTTGGAATTAGTAAAATGTTATGTTGATTCTGAATACGTTTTACCTGTTATACCGTCTCTTTTAAAGTTGGTGAGCTTGATTTGTGTTTCTTGTCTGTCCTCCGGTGTGTCTGGGAGATCCTCTCAAATATGCTTGTGTATTGAGGGCTGGCATGCTGTTCTGCAACAGATATCTGGAGGAAAATTGAGTAGTCTTCAATTTGAAACTTTACAACACTGAAATTTCATGATAAGCAGATGTTCTTTAGTATCTCTTCTGATGTTGTAAACTTGGTGTATGAATTTGCTGTGCACAAATGCATCACTTGCCCCAATTTTTTTTTGTTTTTAAAATGCAATGTTTTCTGGGGGGTTTCAAATCTATGAGAACATTGTCTCCTCCAAATACATAGTATAGATGATCTAGATTTTTAAGAAATATAGTACTGGAAAGGATTCAAATCGAAGTTTAGGGATGAGGTGCTTGGGAACTAATTCAGAGCATAGCCAAAATAGGTGAAACAAACCTCAAAACAGTTACTAAACAAAGGACTCGTTTCAAAGGTCATCCTCTTTTCATTGATAACTGCTTGTTTTGAATGGTAACTAACCAAATTCCCCCTCCCAACTGTTCTCCTATTTTTCACCTTCACTCTCATCCCATTTTGTTTGCCTTTCTCCAATTCTACAAGCATACAATGGAATCTCATTATTATCATACACTGTTCTTCATTTCTTTCTTCTCTCTCATCATCTTCAATCCTTCTCATTCCATATATGGGCAGCACAGTTCTTCAGAACCTTCCCTGCCTCTAGATACTCCTCCAAACTTGCAGCCTGTGTCCTCCCCCGGACCACAGCCCGAGCTTTCGCCAACACCAACACCAACATTAGCCCCTTCATCTGAACACCCTCCCGTGTCTGTCCCACCATCCACCAACATCGATCCCACAATCGAAAAAATCTGTGCGTCAACAGACTATCCTGATCTCTGCCTCTCCACAGTCACTCCCTTGCTAAAAGGCAAGAATGACATTGTGTCCGTGCTTGAAGTGGCAATAAAAGCCAGTACTAACTCAACAAATTTGGGTCTGATCATGGCCAAAAAACTGGCTAACATGCCTGGAAATACTCCTGAAATGGTCTCAATCCTCAACGATTGCACGAATAGTTATGACACCGCTTTGTACAATTTTCGGAATGCAATGGATGCATTCCCCGGTCGTGACATTGGCACAATGAATACAATGCTTAGCGCTGTTATAACCAATGTTGGCGATTGCGAGGACGGGCTTTCTGGAATGGATTCTCCATTGTCTAATTGTGCTGACAAGGTTATAAAGATGACTAGCAACTGCCTTGCCATTATTTCCTTGATCCACTGATCTATGGTATTTTGTGGGATTTTCTATGTATTGATCATCATAACGTACTATTTTTGGTTGTTGTCTCTGTGTATGAGATTGAGAACAGCAAGAAAAGAGAGTGCTGAGAAGTTTGTAGGAATGCAAAGGAAGGTTAACTTGTAGTATGATCGATAGAATGATTCTTCTGTAATCAAAGCCAACAGATTGTGTTTTGCCTTGTTGGTCGTGGGTTTGAGGTAGTTATGTATTAAATAACAGTAAAATTTGTGCGAATATACGAAATTTATAACATGTTTTTTTATTTATTTGATTCTTTGTTTTTCTTCCTCTGTAACCCATCATTCGACACATTAGCGAGTTATAAAAGTTTTATGGTGATTAGAAGTTAATTTTAATTAAATTTAAATAAACAATGGTTGGTTAGTTGGGAAATGAATGGGGTGAACTTATATTTTGTTGGTCTCAGGATTTGCTTGTTGGGATTTCTCCGATTTAAATCCACTAACAAACACACACAATCGAAGAACAAATCAAGAATATAAAGCAATAAGAAACAAGAAAGAACAAGACACAGATTTTACGTGGTTCGGCAATTTGCCTACGTCCACGAAGCTGCAGGGATTTCACTATTGAGAGAGTTGAATACAGAGAGCGGCTGTACCATACACGATTAACCCTAATCACCAAAACAACAGGGTTTATATGTCCTATCGGCCCAAGCCTTCGCTCCATGGACTAAGCCTCAGAAAATTTTCCATTAAAAATCACACAACATTATTTCGGGATCGGGTCATCATCCGGATCACATATACAAACTAGACTCCATAAAAATAAACCAACATTGCTCACCGAGATGGATGGCTAGAATGGTGACCTGGCCTCCGGCAGGAACCTTCTTGCAAGGAATTCCGGCGGTCAATCATTCGATGGTAAAGTCAGGAAGAATGATGAAAAAAAATTGTATTTAACGGGGAATGAATTATTTAATTGGATGATGCATAACTCAACTTTTTTATAGGTTAAGAGATTGTACCGTTGGACAATTTTCAACAATTATTTGAATGAAATAACACTAAAAGTAGAACAGAAATTAATGTTTTCTAACGTAGATATCTCAACTAGTTTGAATTAGTCAAGACGAGCCGAGTTGTTGAACTAGAGATTTTGGCGAGTAGGGAGCCAAGGTGCAGAGCTCACGAGCTAAGCTCGTGCCCACATGTTCAAACTCGTGCCAATTTTATTCATTATCATATTTTAATAATACAAAATTCTAAGAAATTAGCAAATAGGAAAGTGAAGGCTTGTCACGCTGTTCCACTATAAAATTGATTGTGTTTTGGCCATGGCTTCCCACGATAAATTCTTAGTTATTTGTATCCTTACCCATTTGTTGGTTGTTGGACCGGAAAAGTGAGGATTGAATAATGTAATCCGGCTGAGTCCTTAATGGATGGACAAATCACGAGATATTTTATGATCCCTTGAATGTGTAATCTGATTGCGTATATTCTTCACTAATGGATAACTCACTATCTCGTATCTCTGCATTATAATATCACTTTTCACTTAGGATTGAAAATTATTTATTAAGAATCCGCATGAGTTGATTCAGTAGTCAAATAAAAGACATGTGACGTAGTTGTTCACGTCTTGAGATCAAGTTTCTTCTAATTGCATAAAAATCGAACTCATGTCAGTACATGTACGTTTAAAGTTTATATTACAATCGTAATTCTAAAAGACACGTGATTAAAATGATTATTGATTATTAAAAAACTCAGCCACAAAGAAGAATTGAACATTGTTGTAATATACGCTTCACATACAATCCGATGCAACTCAAGCGAAGATGGGATAGTCTTAGTAGTTTAATATCAGTAAATTTAATGGAATTTTTACTTTTTTTTTGGTCATGAAATTTAATAGAATGAAGATATGGATGTCAATATTTGTGGATGAGGATAGCCCACCCCAAAAAGATTTGAGGCCGGCCCACTATCATTTGCTAAACGCAAGGGCCTGCAGGATAAGTCTAGCCCACTAAAATTTAAGTCAACACTGGTGGGCCCAACAACAACCACAACTTTGACGGCTACTGAGACACGACCTAAATCCACCAATAAAAAAACGACACGTAATCAGATATTTCGTGTCCATCTGTAGCCTTAAATATGTATCTCTCTCCCCCCTCTTCATATATGTATCGATCCCCTTCTTCAATTTGCATTTGTATATAATACTAAATACAGAGAGTGGTGGAGGTGGTGGTGGTGAGAGGGAGTGATTAGACGCGGTTTGATCTACCTAAGAGCTGCGGAAATGGCGGAAGAAAAGTACAATCGGAAGAACCCAGCGGTGAAGAGGATATTGCAGGAGGTGAAGGAGATGCAATCGAACCCCTCCGATGATTTCATGAGCCTCCCCCTCGAGGTTTCCTTTCGATTCCCTTTCTGAAAGTGAAAATTTTCTGTTAATTGTACTTTATTCAGCTGGTTTTGGTTAAGATTTTATTCGAACATCTGTTTAGATTCTTCTTAAATTCATCTCCTGCTTTATTTTTAGCTGTTCTATTCACAAGGATGATGATGGATGAAATTTTACTATATTGAGATTATTTTAGGTTATTAAGGTTCTTGATTTAAATTTCAATTATGTTTTGACCATTAGATTTGCGATTAATTATTAAAAGATGCTGATTTTTGAGGGCTTCTTGTTAACAATTGCTTTCTTATTACAATCAATCAAAATTATTTCATTAAATCTACTGTGTTTTAAAGCGGCAGGGCAAGGTTAATTTGTACCTTTTCCACGTTTTGAATGCGTCGTATTTGTACGTAGTTGTTATGGCACTATATGTTTGTTTTTCTTTATAAAAAAAAGGGGAAAAGAATTTTTTGTGTCTATAGCAGTATTGTGACTATGGCTTCCTGCATCTGCATCATGAAGAGTGTCTTCGCTAGTTTGCTATATCTCTATACTAGCAGTGTTCACCTGTGCATGGACAGTTATCCAATAAATTGATAATGGCTTCAATGAGATTAAACCTTGTAATAGATATAACATAAAACAATAAAATATTTATACATATACACTCATGTATAAGAAGAAAACAATCCATGCTTGAAAAATGAAGAATGTGTCTGAACAGATACACATGAAAATTCAACAGTAAAATGGGATCTAGAAGAAATAGTTCTAGGCAGGAAAACCCACCCCTAAAAAATTATGGACAAAAAAAATCCTACAGATTGCTTGAGGGACGCTGGATTCTCGACATCTCAGATAGAACATTCTTGGGTGCCTTCTTGTAAAGGAAAGTCAAATAACCTCAGAAAATATGGCCCCTAAAACTCATATACATAGAATACCTGAGAGGACACAGCTTGACTAAAAATGTCACTACTGCTCAGAACCTATAGTTGGAAAAAAAAAAAGCACTGAAAAAATAATCCAAAAAACCATTAAAATAAAATCTGTTTTACTAAACAATTGGGAAAAAAAATGCTTGAGTGCTAGATTATCTCTCAGATAAATCATCAAAAAGAAAATGGATTTAAACATTTCATTCGAAACCGTGAAGGAGATATCAGTAAAGCCCTGCTATTCTTGGGTTTACCAAGAGCTTTGAATTGCTAAAATCAATTGGAGTTGATATTACAATGATTGGAGAAAAAGATTTCCTACAAAATGATTTAATTGTCTTTGATTTGAAACTCTCTCTGCCAACCACTTTGATAGGCATGAAAGAGTTTTCACTAATCTTCTCTAAATTCTTCATCTCTGTGTACCAATTTAATCCAATGCGGGTATAGCAGTTGGAGATAAAGTTGGTATCAGTAGTTGATCCGTAGGAGTCAGTGGAACAATTCAATGTGGGAGTCAAGATTAATTTAGGAAACAAAGAGGGAAGATTGCTCAATTACCCTCACAATGAAATTGTTTGCTTTATATATATAGATAGATACGATACGACAGATTCTTCACATGGGATGACTGTTTGGCTTTGTTTTTTGGGCATTGGTATGACTAGAAGGTCCTTTTATGAATGCTCAGGCTGAATCGTTTGAAGGGTCACATACTCATTTTGATAGCTTGAGCACAAAGAATTTCAACAGCACAGCTAAATTTTCTACCATTCTGTATGCAAATTAGATCGGCATTAACTACGAAAAGCTCATTTTTTTGCCCTTTCTTTTATATACTTTGGGGTTGGAGGCTTAGCTATGTAATACCTACCTACAGATTGTGATCATGTCTATTTGAATCACTTGTTTCTTTTTTCTTTTACTTGTTCTATAAGGAAAACATATTGGATTATTTTCCCCTTGTTACCTTATTACCCTTGTCCAGTACACTTGATAATTTAACGTGCACAATGATGGAAATTCTCTTTCTCTCTCTCTCAGAGGCTTGAATCTACTTTTTGTTTTTTCTTTTCCTGTTGGTTAGTTATTTTTTTCCCCTTTCAGAAGCTTGAAGCTTTTAAGTTATGTTGGCAGGAGAATATATTCGAATGGCAATTTGCAATCAGGGGACCCTGTGATACTGAGTTTGAGGGAGGCATTTATCATGGACGTATCCAATTGCCTGCGGAATACCCCTTCAAGCCTCCTTCATTTATGTTGTTGACGGTACGATCTGATTTCTTTTTGAGGGTTTTGGTTTTATGTTGTGGTATATATGGTTTTTCATGGTGTGAGTATTTCCTATATTTACTGATATTCGGGAGGGTGGGTGCTATACATCAATCTCCATAGCTGTTTTACTCTGATCTGCTAACCTTATTTTAATTCCGTTTCCAGCCGAATGGCCGTTTTGAGACCCAAACAAAGATATGCTTGAGTATATCAAATCATCATCCTGAGCACTGGCAGCCTTCATGGAGTGGTAATTTATTTTCTTCTTGACATTATGAGTAAAGGCAGGAAAAACAACTTGCCATTTTTGATAATTTCTAGTAAAGCGATAGCATATTTACCAGCAATATCTCTGGAGATGGTTGTTTCATGACCATTATTGTTAGCTTAGCTGAGGCTTTCAAAGCAAACAAAATAGTTCTGGCAGTTGTTCCTCCTATTTGACCTAAGATGAGATGAGTTTGTTTTATGATTATTTAAAACTTACAAATTGACGAGCTCTGCACATAATTCTTGACTATTTTTAGTCGAGTATTTTCTAGACCAATAGAAAAATGTACTGAAATATTTTCAACTGATGAACATGTGTATTTCCGCGAACTTGTTTGTTCTTACTACATTACAACTTTGGATGTTTTTCTTTGGGTCTGAAATATAACACAACTTGGATGTTAGAAACTGTATTTTTTAACTTTGTTTTGTCATAATTCCAAGTTTTTGATCGAATATTGAACATTATTTTAGATTTAGTCTTCATAAATCGTGCGTCTGCATGAGAACAGAGTTTATACCTGTTAGCGTGTTTGTGAGAGATTGAGGATGGTCAATTAGGATATATTACTATATATTGGCCAATAACAATACTATGAACTGAAGCATATGCGGACTGCTGAACATTATGTAAAATTCTATTTGGATTGTGTTGACATTTTCAGTAATGTTTATTGGATTTAAAAAACAGGGTGGTAAATTGAAGTATACCATATGCATATGTGCTTGCATTGGGTAGTCATGTTTTATATAGATGGATATTGTAAGAGGAAAAGTGTAGGAGATGGGACAAGCCTCTTGGGTAGCACGTGAGTTCCTGGAACTCTTGCTGTGAGACAAATTTGTTAATTGTTCCTGCACAGCTTCATTAGTTCTTTTTATGGTATGATTAATCTTATAAATGAACTTCAAAGGCATGCAGTTTTGTGTGAAGATATTCCATGCCATGAATATATAGATTATGACCAAAATTTTCACCCTGATGACATATCTCGCTGTTGCAGTTCGGACTGCTTTGACAGCACTAATCGCCTTTATGCCCACCGACCCAAATGGTGCTTTGGGCTCATTGGACTATAAAAAAGAAGAAAGGCGTGCTCTGGCAAATAAATCTCGTGAAGCTGCTCCTAGATTCGGGACTTCTGAACGTCAACAGCTAATTGATGAGGTTTCTTATGGCCCAACTTCCCCTCCCAGTTATTCCTTCACCACATGTAAGATTCATTCTAACCATCTGTTCCAATTTTTCAGATTCATGAATACATGCTGAGAAAGGCACCCCCAGTTCCTCAACTCAGCCCCTCACAGACTCCTGAAGAACAATCTACCCATCGAGATGCAGCGGATGCTGAAGTCCAGGTGAGTCCTCAGAATGCCACCACAGAATCTGCTGGGGAGGAACTTCCGAATCTAGCTGAAGGTGACAGGATTGTTGAAGAACTGCAAGAAGTTCCTCTGAATGCAAATCCCAGCCCTGCAGGAATTAGGATATCGAGAGAGGTTCCTGCTGGACACTCAAGAGGGCAGCAGCTGCCGCAGAGGCCAGAATTGAGGATTCAAAAACCGGCTGATGATCGCCTTTTCACATGGGCTGCTGTTGGGCTTACCATTGCTATAGCTGTTCTTCTGTTGAAGAAGTTTATGAAAGCTAGTGGACATGGTGCTGTTTTCATGGACGGATCATAAATCTTAGTGGTAAGCAAACCGCCGAATTTGCTTAGTAGATTCGGTAAGTCGGTACTAAATTGTCCGGTGGGTGGTATAGTTTGTAATATATCCGTCAGTTATTCTTCACCTATTTATAGCGACGGAAGAGCGTTTTAATCAGTTTGTTTCTTGGACTTGTATGAGATTGGTACAGTAAACATTGGAATGAAAGCGGCAAAAGTTCCAAGAACTGTAAAAGAAATTACTCATTTTACTTGTTCTTCAGTTCGGTGATGGGTCATGTCAGTATTTGTTAATAGATATAAACTTAGCCACCAGATGGGTTTGCATTTTCCAAAAGTTGTGTAACTTCTTCTTGGTTACAGAGGCAATCTTTGCCAACCAATGAGGATGTTCTTTTCTTGATTACGATTGAGTTATATGTGAATGCGATATAAGTGATGGACTTGTTATCATTTTGATATTCCAATTGAGACTCCATGATGAATGGACCGAGCCGACGGACTCAAATCCGGTATGGGTCCGAGCCAGCAGACTCGTATCTAGTATGGACATACTGTTAATGTTTCATGTAAATTGACATACTGTTAATGTTTCATGTAAATTGCATGGGATAAAGTTAGTCTCTGTCTAATTAATAAAACTTATTTTATACACAAAATAATAGTTTCAAATTAATTATAAATAAAACGACGCGTCCTTCAAATTACCACCCAGTCACCTTCGACTCTCCTGACATCAAAACCCAAGTGTGTTTGCTGTAGCTTTGCGAACCTGTCTTTCTCAATTTCTCAAAGCTTTATGAAGACACAGGTTGTCAACCATGGAAGCTTCCAGGTCACCCTGCTTTTCTTAGTACATAGTTTTCTTCTCTCTCTGTTTTTAGTGGAAGATATTCGTATTGCAATGTTCCTTACTTTGTCTTATTGCATTGCATGTCTATTACCCAGCCTTTCTTATTTAATTGAATACCACGGATTTGTTCTTGCTTAATTTTCATGTTTCAACCCCTGTTTGGTTGCCCTGAAAACCAAACGGAAAGGTTTCTTAATGTTGGAAAACGCACACCATTATGTGAGACATTGCATAATGTTCATTTAGATGTAAATTTCTTTGTGAAGATATGTTATGAATCCATGGATAGAGCTAGTCCTTGAAAATCGACTTGCAACTTATTTTTAGTCAATGTGGGATCCTAACATTCCACCACGCTTTTGTAACTAACGTCCACAACAGCCCACTTGGCCTCTCTTTTTTACGGCTTCACTCGCCTATTAATATTCAATAAGATAATATTATGATCATTCATAATACAAAGTCATATTAATCCAGCCTATAGGTTATCTCTTTCGTGACTCAACCACAAAGAGCCGCAGCTCACAGTGTGTTCAATCCTATATTCGACGTGATAGTTAACTTTGATACTAATTGTTATGAACCCATAAGTAGAATTTGTTCATCAAAATTGCCTTTTGTAACTAAGGAAATAATGCTCAAGAGTTTATATACACACATTTTATCTTATTTTTAATCGATGTGGGATCGTATCAAGATATGGGTAAAGACTTAGAGTTACTTTTCTATACTGTCCATATCAGAATTTATTACAAAATAAGAGTTGGGGTACAATTCATTCCGGTGGGCTTGCAACAAAATATGTTGTTTGGAATTGATCATAACCTTTTAGGATTAATTTTAACTTTTTTTGTAGCAGTAGTAACTAGATCTCAGAGTAACTTGGCCCAAATAAGTTAAAACTAGTCTTTTTTTCAATCGTAATTTTTGGTACGGTACCTCCTTCATATTGTAGTCTTACCCAAGTGCCCAACTTGTTTCTCACACTCTTTCCTAATTTTTTTTTTGTTCAATAGTCAAAGGCACACTATTCACGCTGGGACTAGAGTATTTATAAAGGATAAATCCTCATGGCCTGATCCTAGGAGTTGCTAAGATTCAAACTCAGGACATCTAAATTTACAATTCGTTCTTATTACCACTTGAAGTATCCTTCAAGATTACACTCTTTCCTACTTTTGCTTGGCAATGAAAAAAGACATTAGTTTGTGTACCATTGTTGGCTGCATTTCTTAGAATATTTTCACTGAGAAGTTATGCATAATATGTCAATTGGATCCTGGTCCGTCAATAGCAGTTTGGATTTCATCGGCGTTTGCGCCATTTAGGTATATCAAAAAGAATCATATAATATATCCTATTTAGATTATGTATAATTGCTTGACATGTTTTAGGCTGAACGATAATATCAAGCACCTTTATCGTCACTATCAGAAAGCTATTTATGGTAACTTAATTCAAAGCCTTTGTGCTCTTGTGAAAATAGGAAACTGATATATCGATAATATTACTAGAATATAACTTCAAGAATTGAAGAACTGTCTTTTGTTGTAAACCATTTGTGGCAATTTTTTTTGAGAGGTGATGAGCAAAATGTTCTCTTTAGAGGAGAACTTTGATATTGATTGTCTTCTAGACACATATGGTTCTTCTAAGGATTTTGACAGTGCTGTAGGAGGGAACATTGCAAAGCAAACTCATTTGCATGAAACAGAAGACTTGGGGAAGTCAGGAGACATCAATTCGTTATGTTCTGGCCGCAGGTTGTATCAACAAAATATAGCTGAGGAAGAACTGCTGCTGTCTACATATCAACAAGAGCAACAACTACAATTGTTTTCTCATTTTCGTACTTTAGATGATTTATATTTGGATTTCGTTTCTCCACCATTTCAATTGTCTGGCAAAGAAATTTCAAAGGTTGTTAGCTTTCAATCTGAAGATCTGAAGGTTATCAAATCAAAGAAGGAAAAGGCAATAATATCTCCTTCGGCATCACTTAGGATTCTGAAGAACTATGGAAACAGGTTCCAACGCTTGAATGGAGAAAAGATAAATTTGCCAGGTAACGATATTGTGAGTACTAAGGTGAGTGACCAAAAATTATCAGCTGGTGCAATTATAAGGTTAGCTGGAGAAAAGTTCATCCAATCTTGTTCCCAAATGGTTGATGAAGTCTTAGTTGTTGACCATTCATATCCCAATTCATTTTTGGGCTTATCTGATGAGGAGATGAAAGATGTGGAACTTTTACAGTGTCTTCTAGCTTCAGCTGAGAAAGTAGCCCAACAACAGTTTGATCGTGCAAGCAAGGACCTCAACCAGTGCGATGACTCGTCCTCTGATAAAGGTACTCCCATTCAGAGATTAGTATACTATTTTTCTGAAGCCCTTCGAGAGAAGATCGATCGAGAAACAGGAAAAGTCACATTAAAGGGTTTGGGAAAGAAATGGTTATTAGAGCTTGAAGAGGCAATGATGAGCCCAAACCCCACTTGCATTTCTGTTTACCAAAATGTGCCATTTGTTCAGGTTAGCGTATTCACTGGTGTGCAAACTGTAGTTGACAATGTAGCAAAGGCAAGAAAGGTCCATGTAATATACCTGGAGATCAGGGGAGGGATGCACTGTACGGTGTTAATGTCCACTCTTGCAGCTCGACGCGAATATCCCCTTGAGCATCTCAAGATAACTGCTATTGGAACTCGATCAAAACCAAAAATTGTGGAGACTGGTAAGCGGTTGATAAGTTTTGCCCAATCCATTAACTTATCATTCTCTTTCAAAATAGTTATGGTAGCAGACATGCTAGATCTCAATGAGGACCTCTTTGAGTTGGATTATGAGGAAGTAGTAGTTGTCTACTCATCATATCTGTTAAGGACCATGATTTCGTGGCCAGATCGACTGGAGTGTTTGATGAAAGTGATGAGAAATATTAATCCTTGTGTGATGGTGGTCATAGAGAGTGAAGCAAACCATAATTCACCAAGTTTTGTTAAACGTTTCATTGAAGCTGTTTTTTTTTATGGTGCATTTTTTGATTCATTGGAAGACTGCATGTGTCATGATGAACAAAATAGAATGATCGCAGAATCAATGTACTTTAGCCCGGCAATTCGAAACATTGTGGCAGCTGAAGGAGAGGAGAGGACAATGCGGCACGTGAATTTTAACGTCTGGAGGGATTTTTTTGCCAGATTTGGGATGGTGGAGATGGATCTGAGCATGTTATCCTTGAATCAAGCAGATATGATGCTTAAGGACTTTGCTTGTGGCAGTTCTTGCACACTTGATTTGGATGGGAAAAGCCTAATAATTGGATGGAAAGGAACACCAATCCATTCTTTTTCTGCTTGGAAATTCCTATGACCAGAAGGATTGAAGGAGTTATTTGAAATTTGCATTCAAGTCTTCGATTGAGTCGACTTTCTCTGAAATCTGTATGTAGTTATCTTATGAACTCTCTACACATGCGGCTGTACAGTTCAGCTTCATATTACAAATACAATTAACTTGATATCAACACTATCTTATGTGGAATTCAGCACTTTTTTCAATTATCCTGTTTCTCGTAACAAAAACTCCCATCAATTTTGGAAAGAGAATTACTTCATCCCCTTCACAATCTATGAAAATTAAAGAGAGATCGGTTTTCTTGAAAATTATGCATGCTCAGATAGATGGGAGTAGAAAGGGAAATCAATCGAATGTCAGAGAAGTGATGGGTTTTATGTGATGGAATCTGCTTGGTGTTTTCACGGGTGCTGGTGGTCGTTAGTGTGGTGTTTGGTATATGGCTATGGAGGTGGGTGGGTGGTGATGAATTTTATTTTTATTCTCAAACATCAAGATTGTGATCTAGCCAACCCCAAATGATTGGGACATAAATCGTGGTTTGATTTGGTTTTGTTTGGTTATCAAGATTGTGATTTCATTGCTTTGCAAGGTTCTATAGTTATGTATTTTGTTCTAGTGTCTTTATAATTTGGCAATGTATATAGTGATGGACGATCTAATTTTTATCTACTTTAATCTAATAGAACAAAATTTATCACAAATTTTTTCTCTCGTTCAAAAACACCATATGTTATACAGAGTTCTCAATGTCAGACAATTCAATCAATACACACTCTAATGCTAAATAATTCCACTAATTTATACTTACCTCTTTCTTCTCCTTTCCCGATCTCTCTTTTTTTTTTTTGTTTATTTTAATTTTAAATTATATAATTATGTACATATTGTTGATTCATGTATAATCTATATATCTGAGTTTACTTAATATATACTCAACTTATTTACAATGGTGTATAGTTATGTATATGCCGTGAGTGATTCGTGTTGCTTATAATCTGGGTTTGATGGGTTTGTATCTAACCTATTTATTTGGCAAATCTAATGATACCATCTCCTTCCGTCAAAATTTATTTATTCTTTATTGATTTTGTATTGGATTCGCAGGAGAGGACAAAAAACAAGAGGTGACCTGCAAGGACCCAGTCATATTCCAGCTTCCTTCATGACATCAAAACCCAAGTGGGTTTGCTGTAGAGCAATGAAAGACAAACCAGTCGTCCTCAGAGCTTAGTGAAGACAAAAGTGTAAAACAATGAACAACCCTTAATCAAATTCCAGCTCATTGTGTTCTTATTATCTTCTAGTGTATTGGTTTCTTCTCTGTTACTGTCTTTATTAGAAGGCATGCTTTGTACAAGACAATGTCTGTTACGTAACCTTTCTTTTTTTTAATTGGATACTCTGTCTGTTCTTGCTTAATCTGACTTATATATTAATCTTTCTTCTTTGTAATGTTCATTAGATGAGACAAAGGAAAAACAATGCAATGTTCTTGCTTAATCTGTAATTTTAACTCTTTGCTTGGTTGCCTAGAAACTAAAGTGAAAAAGAGGAAGAAAACCAAAACATTGTTGTGTCTTGATGGAAACCTTATGCCATTATGCGGAGAATATTGTCCTTTTTTCGAATGTAAAATGGGAATCACTATTATAACAAAGAATTATAATGTCTGATAAATACTCACGATTATGAAGAGCCATGCATCTATATCATTAGTGGAGAAGAAAACACCCAAAGAGAACCGGAGAGAATCGCAAAAAGAAAATGTCGGTAAATATCAGTTTGATGGAAGTTTCTTCTTCTAAATATTGGGTCCCAGAAAATGGGAGTTTTTATGCTCCAAACTATATCTCTTGTTCTTTTCCCAAGCTGTTGCTTGACAATGAAATAGGACACTAGTTGGTGTACAGTTGGTGGCTGATTTTCTTAGGAGATTTTCACTCAGAAATTCCGCAGAATATGCCAATACCTGTTTGGATATTAATGGCTGTTTCTATTATTTACAAAATAAGAAAAGAATTATGTAGTGTATCATAGGAAAATGATGTTTATATTGGCCTATAATCGCTTGCCGCGTAGTAGGCGGAGCGATAACATCAACGCATACACATCAAGATATTAATCTAGGATGTGCTTACAAATTTGGACTGTCTCATTCACATAACAATTTTTGGAAAATGGTCACTATCAGAAAGTCATTATTGTAATTTAATTCAAAGCCTTTGTATTTTTGCTCAAATAGAGCTTTTATATATCTATAGGATTAGTAAAATATACCTTTTGTGTCGAAATATAAATACTTAATTACACCCTTCACTATATATCATTTGTGTCAAAGTATAAACACTTAAGTTACACCTGTAACTGTTTAATCTTTTAGAGCAGAGATGATGGTTCAAAATGGTGTCAGAGTAGGAGATTCTTTGTTTGAATATATGGTTCAACACTATGGAATTGAGAAACTGTCATGTAAAAACATTTATGGTAGTTTCGTTTTTGACGTGAGAAGCAAAATGTTCTCTGTAGAGAAGTTAGGTTTTAATTGTGTTCCTGACAAGTATGGTTCTTCTAAGGATTTTAGCAGTGCGCTAGGAGGGAATATTGCAAAACATCCTCGTAGTGTTCTTATTATTAACTTCTTGTGCATTGTTTTCTTTTCTCATTATCATTTTTGGAATTCATGCTTAGTTCAAGACAATGTCTATAACCTTCCATGTTTAATTGTATACTACAGTTTGTTTTTACTTGATGTGGATTTTGTTACCCTCTGTTTGGTTGCCTAAAAAAACTAAATGAAAAGGAAAAAAAACCAGACCATTTTGGTTTCCTGAGGATGAAAACCACACACCATTATGCAAGAAAAATGTTGTATTTTTCTATGCTATGAACGTAGAAGAAAGTACCCAAAGACAGAATGAAGCCAATAAAAAGAGAGACAATGCAACCCGAAAAGGGGACGTGAGAAATAAATCATTACCAGAGGCATGAATCGATCCCTGACCTCTTGGTTGAGAAATTTTGTAGTTAGGCTGAGAAAATAGCAATTAGATATAAGTTTTCTTTAAAAAAATATTAGGTCCCAACAAATCAATTCTTGTATTCTTCTCTTGACTTTTGCTTGGCAACAATACAGAACATGAGCTTGTGTAACTTTAGTGGCTGCATTTCTTAGGATAATTTTATTCTGAAATTCTGCAGAATAGGTCAATCTGACCAAGTCCTTCAAGGCCTGTTTATATCTCAATGGCTGTTTGTAACTTTGTATAAAAGAATTACGCAGTGTTTCCTACCCAGGTGACATTTTTTAAAGTCGTTCTCAGCTAATTGCTTGGCACATTGTAGGCGGAGCGATAAAATTAAACACATTCAATCAAGATATTAGTCTATGATGTTCTTGCGGTTGCCTCAATTCATATAAACATTGCTCGAAAATGGTCACTGTCAGAAAGCCTTTGTACTTTAGTTAAAATAGGGAATTTTTATATTTATAGGATCAGTAAAGTATACCCTTTGGAATTGCAAAACTACCTTGTAAACACATTTATGGTATTTTCAATTTTGAGGCGGTGAGCAAAATGTTTTCTATAGAGAAATTAGATTTTGATGGTGTTCCTGACAAGCATAGTTCTTCTGAGAATTTTGGCAGTGGGCTAGGAGGGAACATTTCAAAACAACCACAATTTGATGGAGAACAAGATTGGGGGGAATCAGGAGGCATCAATTCATTTTGCTCTGATGTTGGGTTCTTCCAAGATGACATAGCCGAGGAAGAAATCCATCGTGAACAACAGCTACAATTGTTTTCGCAATTGGGGAGTTTAGATGATCTATATTTTGATATTGTCTCTCCACCATTGCAACCGTGTCATGAAGAATTTTCAAAGCTTGTCGATGTCCATTCTGACAGTTCAGAGGTAATTGAACCCAAGAATGAAAATCCGACAAATTCTTAACAACTATGGAAGCAAGTTCAGATGGTTCAATGGTGAAAAAATAAAATTTTCAAGTTATGATACAGCGTTCACTAAGGTGAGTAGCCGAAAATTATCAGCTGATGCAATCATAAGGATTGCTGGAGAAAAGTTCATTCAGTCCTATTCCCACCAGACGGCGGGTGAACTCTCTGTGCTAAGCCATCCATATGCTAGTTCATTTTTGGGCCTATCTGATGAAGAGGCTAAAGGTGTGGAACTCGTCCAGTGTCTTCTAACTTCAGCTGAGAAAGTAAGCCAGCAACAATTTGAGTGTGCAATCAAGCTTCTCGACCAGTGTGATGCCTCATCTTACTATAAAGGAAATACTGTTCAAAGATTAGTATACCATTTTTCTGAAGCTCTAAGAGAAAAGATTGATCGTGAAACAGGAAGAGTCTCATTGAACGGTTTGGGAAGGAAGCAATTAGATCTCAAAGATGCAATGATGAGCCCAAACTCCACAATTGTTTCATTCTACCAAAAGGTGCCCTTCACTCAGGTTTGCCTCTTCACTGGAGTACAAGCTATAGTCGAGAACATAGCAGAGGCGAAAAAGGTCCATCTAATTGACCTTGAGATCCAAGGTGGGGTGCACTGTATGATATTGATGGAAGCTCTTGTAGCTCGACATGAATGTGCCCTTGAGCACATGAAGATAACTGCTATTGGAACTAAATCCAAACCAAAAATTGAGGAGGCTGGTAAGCGGTTGATTAGTTTTGCCGAGTCCATGAACATATCATTCTCTTTCAATGTAGTTATGGTAGCAGACATGCTAGATCTCAATGAGGGCCTCTTTGTGCTGGATGATGAGGAAGCAGTTGTTGTATACTCTATATATTTATTGACAAGGATGATTACATGGCCTGATCGACTGGAATGTTTGATGAGATTGATGAGAAACATTAATCCTTCCGTGATAGTTGTCACTGAACTTGAGGCCAACCATAATTCACCAGTTTTTGTTAACCGTTTCATTGAAACTCTTTTCTTTTATGCTGCATTTTTTGATTCTATGGAAGACTGTATGTCTGATGATGAACCAAATAGAACAATTTCAGAATCACTTTACTTTATTCCAGCTATTCGAAACATAGTGGCAGCTGAGGGAGAGGAGAGGACAATTCGACAAGTGAATATCAACGTCTGGAGGACATTTTTCACCAGATTTGGGATGGTGGAGATGAGTCTGAGTAAGTCTGCCTTGTACCAAGCAGAACTGATGCTTAAGAACTTTGCTTGTGGCAGTTCTTGCACACTTGAATTGGATGGGAAAAGCCTACTAATTGGTTGGAAGGGAACACCAATTGAGTCTCTTTCTGCCTGGAAATTTCAATGACAGGAATCATTTGAAATCTGCAGTCAAGCCTTCCACTTAGTCCCCTTTTCTCAAATCTACATAGAGCTTTGTATTGAACTCCATGCGCATTCTGTTCTACACGTCAGATTGAGTAACTGATAAGGGATTGATAACTAGACCTTGTGGTTATTTATCACTGTCAATTCCTACTGTATTCTGCTTTGTGGAAAGCACAGTTCTTGTATACATTTAATTGTTCTTCAATGATAGATATCTCTGATGATCACTATATTTGTTGGGTCCAATTAAGTTTGAATTGGCGTATAATATTCGAAAATCCGTTGCTAATGTTATTTCTTTGATAATGTTATTGGGACCTAATTTATTGATCTAATGATGTGGTTTCATTGTAACACTTAGATTAACACTAAGGTTTAATGTTTGATAGGACTCATGATCAATCCACTGGTTATAGTGAATTAGGTCTCAATAGCATTGCGCTCTAAAGGGACATGAATCTTATTTAGTGACCTTATCATTCTTTGTTATTAGATTGTCAACTATTAGTTAAGATCTACTATTAATTCAATGGTTATGATCTATCATATCACTAAATAAAGTCACTAAATTAATTACAAAAAACATTTCCCAAATTATAAGTAAAAGGAGTGAGTGACATTGTTTTATAATGGGGGGATGTCTTTTAAGATTTGATAATCTACGTGGTATAACATGAGAAGTTTTTTGTTTTAAAAATGTTGGGTAATAAAAGTCATTTAAAATTTAAGACGACATAGTGAAATTATCTGTTCCCACTCCATTAAATTTCTTATTTAAAATTGTGGAGAAAAATCTTTGGGTAAGGTTATTCTCATTCCACAATTACCTGTTCCCACTCCATTAAATTTTAAATCATAAAACTATTAACTACACTCCTTCTATATTTTTTACGCTAATAACTAAACCCATAATATTTTTTTTTGGTTTAACAATCAAAGGTGCCTGAGTTAACTAATGCACATCTTGATTAATTCTCTCTCTGGTCCGGTTAAAGACAGGTCATTCATATTGAAACTAGGATATCACGAGAGATAAATCTCTCATAATCTAATTATAAAAAATTATCAAAATTCGAATTCAAAATATTTGGATATACAACTCGTCTTTGTTACTATTTGATTTACCTCTTGAATTAAATCCATCATATTTTATACTCACCCACTAATGACTAAACTCATATCGATCTTTATTTTTAGAGATTTTTTTTATATCCCATCTCACAACATATATAAAAATATACCCAACTAAATTATTTAATATAGATCTCTCAAATAATATTCAAGTTGGTATATTAGAAAAATATGTTGGATAATCATTTATTTTTTATTTTTTTCAAGATTTTAGAGTAATTTATCAATTTATTGTTATTTTCAAAAGAAACATTGATCTTAACACACGCCTTTTAGTTTTGTACGTTTCTGTGACGGTGTTGCCCTCCTTTCGGAACCCGAAATTTAGCTCTCATGGGGAACCATCGAAGGAGACAAACCGGCGGTGACCTGCAACGACCCAGTCATCTTCAACCTTGATGGCATCAAAACCTAAGTGGGTTTGCTGAAGAGCAATGAAGCATACGGTAAAAGCCATGCAAATCGGTCAATCTTCTAGTGCATTGTTTTCTTCTCCTTCTGTCTTTATTGGAAACCTTGCTTAGTGTGTCCTCTGCGTAACCTTTCCTTGTTAGATTTGAGTACTGCAGTTTGTTCTTTCTTAATCTGCATTTTTTACACTTTGTTTGATTGCCTAAAAAACTAATGGCGTGTTTGGTCGGGTGGAGGGTATGGAATAATGAAAAGAAGTAGGAATACATTTTCTATTCTTGAAAAAATTATTATTTTCCCTCCTTCCTGTTTGGTAGAAGGGATGAAAAATAGAAAAGATTGATTTTTTTGTGGTTGGTATGGGTGAAAAAGTGGAAGGAAGGCAAAAATATTGATGCATATTTTATTATTTTGTTATTGTATGTATGTATGAAATTTATGTAGATAATATATTAATTGGATATGTGGATATATAAAGGATATTAACGTAAATAACATACATTTAAAGTTTAAACTAACATAATTTACTTTCCATTCACTTCCTTTCAATTTTAGAGAAATAGTGAACTAACGGATTTCACCTTCTATTTGGCTTTCAGCAGGGGCTTGACTTAGTAGGGGAGGTCCAGAGAAGTGCTTTTTTAATTACTAATAAGTATTACTTTTTACCTCAAACATCCATTAAGTCCTATCATTTGTTATTTTATATTAATGAAGTCTTATTCTTGATAATTTATTTGAATGATGTCTTAAATTCCATAAATAATATATTTCGTTCGTATTCTAATCTTTATATTTTTCCATCCTTGTAAGTTTCTTTCCTTATCAAATATAATGTTTTATATAGGGAGAATCTCATTTCGTCCGTTTATCTATCTTTTCAATCATTCCACTTTTTTATCATACCAAACAAGAGATAAAGAGAAAGGGAAGAAGCCAGACCATTTTAGTTTCTTAATGATAAAAAACTTGCGCCATTGTGTGAAAAATTATTGTCTTTTGCTCGGTTTGATGGAAGTTTCTTGTTTAATTAGTGGGTCCAAAATAATAAAGAACTGATGATCAGATTTGTTTCTCATATTCTTTCCTGCTTCTGATTGGCAATGAAACTGGGCATGAGTTTTGAGTACCTCAAGTGGCTGAATTCTTAAGAGATTTTTACTGGGAAGTCTGCAGAATATTCAATTGGATTTCAATGGTTGTTTGTATCTTTTAAGAAATCAAGGAGGAGTTTTATGACGTATCCTACCAGATGGCATTTTATAATGTCGTATAATTGCTTGGCACTTTGTAGGGTGAGCGAGAACATCAAACACTTTCAACACCATAAGTATGATATTCCTAGGTATTGGAATATAAGATGGTCACTATCACAGAGCAATTTTATCGGTATTTAATTCAAAGCCTTTGTACTTAGGTAAAAATGAGGAGTTGTTATATCTATTGGATTAGTGTATTATACTTGACGCATTTAGAAGCTTTGTCTTGTCTTTGTGGAAATATATATGTAATTCAGTGTTTGGGTTTTTGAGCTGATGAGCGATCTATTCACTATGGAGCAATTCGATTTTGGTGGTGCTTCTGATGAACACAGTTCTTTCAAGGAATTCGACTGTGAGGTAGGAGGGTACATTGCAAAGCAAACTCAATTGTGTGGAATAGAAGATTGGTTGGTATCAATAGACACCAATTTATCTTATTCTGGGCTTGGGCTCTATGAAGACAACACCATTGCGGATGAGATGTTGCTATCCAAATATCAACGAGAACAACTACAATTGTTTTCTCATTTCAGATGTTTAGATGATTTATGTTTTGATATTGTCTCCCCCCTATTTCCATCGTGTGATGACAAAATTTCAAACCCTGTCAGTATCCACCCTGAAAATGTGCAGTTTATGGAACCCATGAAGGACAAAGCAGTCATATCTCCTTTAGCATCACTTAAGATCATCAACAACTATGAAAGCAGATTCAGACGGTTGAGTGGGAAGCAGATAAATATGCAGACTTACGACACTAATGTGAGTAGTCAAAAATTGTCAACTGGTAAAATTAGTAGGTTAGCTAGAGAAAAGTTCATTCAATCTTGTTCTCAACGTGTTGATGAACTCTCCAGTCTTAGCCATCTGTATCCCAGTTCATTTTTGGGCCTAGCTATAGAGGAGGCTAAAGATGTGGGACTCGTCCATTGTCTTCTAGCTTCAGCTGAAAAAGTAGGCCAGCGACAGTTTGATCGGGCAAGCAAGCTGCTCAACCATTGTGATGGTTTGTCTTCCAATAAAGGAAATGCTGTTCAGAGATTAGCATTCTATTTTTCTAAAGCTCTTCGAGAGAAGATCAATCGAGAAACAGGAAGAGTCACATCAAGGGGTTTGGAAAAGAAACAATCATTAGATCTTGAAGAGGCAATGATGATCCCAAACATTGCTATCGTTTCATTTTGCCAAAAGCTGCCCTCCTCTCAGGTTGTCCAATTCACTCTAGTTCAGATCATAGTTGACAATGTAGCAGAGGCAAAAAAGGTCCATATAATTGACCTTGACCATCAGGGGTGGAATGCTATGTACGGTTTTGATGCAACTCTTGCAGCTCGACGTAAATATCCACTTGAGCATCTCAAGGTCACTGCCATTGGAACTAGATTCAAAACAAAACTTGAGGAGACAGGGGAGCGGTTGATGAGTTTTGCTCGGTCCATAAACTTACCATTCTCTTTCCATGTAGTTATGGTAACAGACATGCTAGATCTCAATGAAGATGTTTTTGAGCTTGATACTGAGGAAACACTTGCTGTCAACTCATCATATTCATTGCGGAGCCTGATTGCATGGACAGATCTTTTGGAATGCTTGATGAGAGTGATGAGGAAAATTCATCCTTGTGTCATGGTGGTCAGTGAAATTGAAGCAAACCATAATTCACCAGTATTTGTTGCCCTTTTCATTGAAGCTCTCTTATCTTATGGTGCATTTTTTGATTCTCTTCAAGATTGTATGAGTCATGATGAATCAAATAGAATCATTATAGAATCTATGTATTTTAGTCAGGCAATCCAGAACATTGTGGCCGCAGAGGGAGAGGAGAGGACAATTTGACACAAGAATATCAACTTCTGGAGGACATTATTTTCCAGATTTGGGATGTTGGAGACGGATTTAAGCATGTCATCCCTGTATCCATAGTTATCAAATCGTGTATCGGAAGGCGTATCGTAAGATACAAATATTGTATCGTATCGTGTATCGTATCGTGTATCGTAAGATACGATGCAATTTTAAATAAATAATAAAAAAATATATATACCTTTGAAAAAAAGTCATACACTCATAAAAAATATAGCATTTCATTAATACTCCACCAACTATTCAAGTTATCAACATAATCCACTACTATTATAATGCAAAGTTCACAACCATAGTTCACTAATTCAAACTTTAAACACCAAAGAGACTTCTAATCCAAATTTCTAACATCCATTTTGAACTCAATCTTCAATTTCAATTGAAAATGCATCATCATCATCATCATTGTGATCGGATGCCAACAAGTCTTCACTTCCTTTATCATCTTCAACTTCTTGTATTTGTTCATCCTCATCCTCATCCTCATCCTCATCCTCATCTTCAAGTTGAACTATTTGCTTTCCTTTTTTCTTGCTTAAAGTAAGATTTCTAGGCCCTACAAAGCAACCAATACAAAATATAAAAAAAATAAAATTCAAAGTAATGGAGAAGAAGAAAAAACAACCACTACATTTTAATTACCTCTCTTTCTCTTTTTGCTAGTCCCTTCTTGAACCTCAAAACATTCACCAACATTCATCCAAGTAGTGTCCTCAGGAAGGAGTGCATCTTCTTTTTCAGTGATCCACTCATCATCAGATTCCATATCTGAGAGAGAAATAGGATCATAGGAATCACCCTCTAGTATTCTCTTTTGGTGTCTTGCCTCCAATCGAAGATTGTACTTCACAAACACAAGTGCACTTAATCTTTGTTGCTCTAATCGATTTCTCCTCTTAGAGTGCACCTGGTCAAATGTACTCCAATTCCTCTCACATCCAGTGGCACTACAAGTCAAGCTAAGGACGCGGATAGCAAGTTGTTGCAACTCTGGACAACATCCTCCAAATGATTCCCACCACAAGGCTATAAAAAATTACAATAGAATACTCTATTAACTAACTTAAGCAGTTGCATTCAAATAACCAACTTAAGTTAAGTTACCACTAACCAGGTTGTTTCTTCTTCCTCATTTGGATTGCCATGTCCATTCCAAACATCAAATCAGCATTATGAAAGATATCTAATTGTTTATCAACTTTTTCTCTCATAATAGGACTTGGGCACATTCTCTGAATAGTCTGATATAGTCCCATCTTTATCTCATAGTCCGCACTACCGGTGTAATGAAACCTGAAATAATTATTTTGATTTACAATGATCATTGATTAGCATACAATATATAGATATAAAATGATATAAAAATTGAGAAAATTAAGTCTTACGCGGGATTGAGATAATAGGCAGCTGCATGAAGAGGTCTGTGTAATTGCATGTTCCATCTAGTGTCAACAATAGTCCATATGGGCTCATAGTGCTTCTTCACATTATGAAAATTTTTTTGGATTTGTTCCTTTGCCTTGTCCATTGCCTCATAAATATACCCCATGGCAGGCTTTAGATCCCCATCTACAAGCCTCAACACCTTCACCAATGGCAACACACACTTCAAGCAATACTTGATTGATCCCCAAAAATTTTGGTCAGCTAGTATAATATCCATCACTTTTACACCATCTCCCTTCTTACAATATTGACTTCTCTGCCATTCCTCAGAAGCAAACATTGCTCTAAGCCCAATTTTATTTTCAAATAAACTCCTTAAAGTTAAATATGAGGTGGCAAATCTGGTCACACAAGCTCTCACCAAATCCCTTTTCTTTGTATACTTTCTCATAAGATTTAACACCCAAGAATGTCTATAAATGTAAACTGTGATTTTCCTTGCCTTTGACATTATATCCTTGTGCAGAGGAAGGTCCCCAATATCCGTCAAAATGAGATCTAGACAATGTGCACCGCAAGGAGACCAAAACAACTTTTTCCTCTTTTCCATTAACAACTCCCCAGCTTTTACATAAGCCGATGCACTATCAGTTACAACCTGAACAACATTATCCTCACCAATCTCTTCTACCATTGAATCTAAAAGCTCAAAAAGATTATCCGCATTCTTACAAATACCTGAAGTATCAATACTTTTAAGAAACACACTTCCTCTAGGACTATTCACTAAAAAATTAGTGATAGAGCGATGTTTCCCATCAGTCCATCCATCAGACATAAGAGTACAACCCGTCCTTCTCCACTCTGCTTTATAATTTTCCATCAACCCACCATTAATCAAATTTGTTTCTTTTTTCAAAAAAGAACATCTCACCTCATGATACGATGGAGGTTTCAATCCCTTACCAAACGATGCAACAGATTCTAACATTCTTACAAAATATGGATCCTTTACCAAATTAAAAGGAAGGGCATTAGCATAAAAACATCTACAAATATCCAAGCATACATCTTCCCTACCCTTTTTCTTCAACATAGTATTCAAAGTAATTGTGGTGGTTGGCTGTATTTTATCAGCAGTAGTACTACCCACACTGCCACTACTTTTCGAATCCACAAGACTCATATCTTTGCTAATTGCCCTATCATCCAATAATTGCTTAAAAAATTCAGTTACTTCCTCAGGGCAATGCTTACACGCTGCTACATCTTTGCGATTACTTGCCAAATGATTTTTCATTCTTGAAATGCCTCCCCAATAGACATTTGCACAATGAATGCATTTCAATTTCAACCTTGATCCTTCTACTTTGTCACAATGTTCCCATGTGGGATCATTAGCAAGTTTTTTAGTCATTTCTATATGAAAATTGGATGCAGGTGATGCCACTGTTGCACAAAATTAAAATTAATCAAGATTCAGAAATTTTTATACAAAAAAATTTATATACATTTGGCTTTGTAAATAAATTAATATCATTACATACTGCACAGGACCAACGATCAATGGAGACTGGGAAGAAGAAGAAAAAGGAGTACCTGGAGAAGGAAGAAGGCAGCGATCAACACCCACAGTCGGAGACAAGCAATCACCCACAGCGAGCAATCACCCACAGCAATCACCCACAGCGAGCAATCACCCACAGCAATCACCCACAAGCAATCACCCACAGACCGGCAATCACCCACAGACCGGCAATCACCCACCGACAGTTGGAGACCACCCACAATCGATCACCACCCAGACTCGAAGACCACCCACAGTCGAAGACCACCCACCCAGTCGGAGACCAGTCGAACACAGTCGAAGACCACCCACAGTCGAAGACCACCCACCCAGTCGGAGACCAGTCGAAGACCACCCACAGTCGAAGACCACCCACCCAGTCGGAGACCAGTCGAACACAGTCGAAGACCAGTCGGAGACCAGTCGAAGACCACCCACAGCGATCACCACCTACAAGTCGAAGACTTCCCACAGTCGATCATCACCCACCCACACACGTCGGTCGACGGCTGAAGAGAAACGACAGTCATCGGTCGATGGCTGAGAGAAACCAGACGTCGATGGCTGAAATGTGTGATATATGTGAGAAATATGTGAATTTTTTTTTTGTAACCCTAACCACTGAAACGACGTCGTTTCAGTGGTTATAGGGAATTGAAAAAAAAAATTCAACACATTTCAAACGACGTCGTTTTAAAAAAAAAAAAAAAAAAAAAAAAAATTTGCACGTATCGTGCGTTTCGTACCGATACGTATCGTATCGTAAAAACGTATCGTGTATCGGACGATACAACGCAAAAACGATACATAACACCGATACGTATCGTTTTAGGGCTGTATCGTAACGTATCGTACGATACGTATCGTGTATCGTACGATACTAACAACTTTGCCTGTATCAAGCAGATCTGGTGCTTAAGAACTTTGCTAGTGGCAGTTCTTGCACACTTGAATTGGATGGGAAAAGTCTAATTGTTAGATGGAAGGGAACACCGATTCATTCTCTTTCCGCTTGGAAATTCCTATGACAGAAATTGATTGAATTTCATGAATTCTGCATTCAAGTCTTCCATAGATAGAAATTTGAGTCGCATTGTGACCGACTATATGATTAGCGAATAATTTTATTTTCGTGACATTGTCTGCTTGCTCTGTAATTCAGTAACCTGTACCAAATGTTCAGTTAATTTTCTTTCTTTGAGATTGGGGTTCTATGAAAATTGTTAGATTTTGCTTTGAAATTTTCCGTTTGGCAGGGTCATTACCAAGGAGGAGCTTTCTTGTCATTTCTTCTGCAGCATTGCATAGCTTTTAAACGAGCAAATGATGCTCCACATTTAATTGTGAAACCTAGTAGCATTTATCATAAAAAAAAGTGATTGTAATTTCCAGAATATACAAATGTAATACACTTTTTTTGGTCAGACAAAAAGAGTTTGAGAGGGCAACATGGTGGAACTTTTGCCTGTGATTACAGCAGTTCAAACCCACGAGCGAAGCCCACCAATAGGGCCTAGACGATGGGAAACGCAGGCGCTTCAAAAGGCTGACTTGAATCAAGGTATAACCCCCGCACTAGAGAGTTACCAGTGAGAATAACAAAAATTTTTGTGAATTGAATCCTACTTGTTAATCTGAGGACTCTAACCGGGACACTATAAACACTGAACCACTAGCCTGGTGATAGAGATGTAATAGTTTAAACAAAACTAAAATTAGTTATATAACTGTTGACATAATGTAATTAAAGATTTTTATGAAAATAATAAAATTAAAAATTAAAAAAAAAAAAACACACAATCTATTGAGTGAGCTTAGAATTGTATGGGAAAAATTAATTAAAAATTTGTATTTAATTGTCTTAATAAAAATTTAACCAAAAAGAATGTGATGTAGAGGACAACTTATCGGTGTGCGCGGTATTTTTCAAATAATATTACCGATTTATGATTTTTTAAAATTTATTTATCAAATTACAACAATTTTTAAAAAGCGGGATTATTGATTCCGCTTTTAAGAGTAAATTCATTGGGTTTAACTCCCTCTTTTTGCATCTGATTTGAAACACTAATACTGTCTTATTCGACCAAAGATTAAAAACATAGTTGTTAATTCTGTTTTTTAACATTGACCCTATTTTTAAAAAAATGTCGTAATTTAGTAAATAAGTTTAAAAGTACCGTAAATCAATAATATTGTTTGAAATTTGTTGTATTCTGGCAAATATCTTCAACGTAATGGCCGATCAAAGAGTAATCTTCTGGCCTCGGTGTCCTCAACTCGTCCCGACCGATCTCTGCTCTCATTCAAAACCTACTCTCTTCCCTCGCCAAAAAAAATAATTAACTATCTACTTGACACTTAAATTATATTGTTTGTATCAAATCAAGCTCTTAAATATATTTATCAATTTAGAATCTGAATTATGTAATTTGATTCAACGTAGCCTTTCCGTAAAAAATAGCCGCCAATTTTGATGGAAATCATCTTGTACACATCATTAAGTTATAATTTAGTAGTTACGTGATGCGCACGAGAGGATTTTCATCAAAATTAACGACAAATTTGGATAGAACGATCATATTGAGTCAGATTGCATAAATTAGACGCTAAATTAATATAAAACAAATTAGGAATTTGACCGACATAAATAATATAATTTTAGGGGTAAAGAAATAGTTAACCTACCCTTTATGATTTGACCATTTTGCACGTCACCCCATTATGGTATAAAAATCAGCATATTATTCCCCCATATAGTTTTGGACTAAAACTACTATCGTTACTAATTCTGTCCAAATGAATTATAAACCATGTGCCAAATCTGAGATTATGCAACGAAAAAAAAAATATCAAAGTCAAGGGGCAGGTGCTGCGGACGATTGTGGGTGTTGTCTGTTGTGGCTATGGGCGGTGGTCACAGATGCTTAGTCCGGGTTCTCTGTGTTATCTCTTTCTCCTCTGGCGCTAGTGGGTTGGGATAGTGGTGGTGTTGGGCAGTGGAGCTGTCCCTCCACAAATGAAGTTCGATTTTGGCTGCCTTTAATTTGGATTCTCGTTCGATTTGCAGTGCACCGTTCAATGCCGTTTCTGAGCTACATTTAGACGACAAGGAAGAGCTACAAAAGGGAATGGTGCAGATTAGTCCAAAACTACATGGGGGTTATGTCCTGATTTTTAAACCATAGAGGAGTGATGTGCGAAACAGCCAAACGGACAAGGGGGCAAAATGGAGTTTACAACCCCAACCCCACCCCCCCCCCCCCCCCAGCAAAAAAAAAAACCAGAAAGTCAGCGTAGATAGCAAGGGAGAGTTATCCAGTGCGAATGACGGAAAAGAGTGAGGCAGTTGAAAAATCTAGCAATAACACCGGTATGATCGAGGAGTGGTTACGAAAGCACCGTCTGGTTTACACTGGAGCCACCAGACACCCTTTTATCCTCAGCGTCCGAGATGGGTCCGTAGACCTCTCATCCTTCAAGCGATGGCTGGTAAAATAACTTCATTCTTACTCATGAGTTGGTCCTCTATTAATTTCTTTCTTTAATTCTTCATTTGGGCTAGGGTTTTGTATAATATCCGCATTTGGGTTTAGTTCTGTTTTTAGAAAAACTCTTGTGGGATGATTGGCTATTTAATACCATCAAGGATATAGTAGAAGCGAAAATAGGCTAATTTCTATATGCATCTTGATCAGAAAACTTAGTCACCTCGGATTCATTTGAAGTATTGTACTTAGGGGGTATCTAACACGAAATTAAAAAAATTGAGTCTTTCTTAAACCACCCATTTATTGAACCGACATGACACAATTAATAAACGAATCGGATGTAGGTGAAGTCAATTAAAAGAAATACACAATACAATTTATTTATATATCATATACGACACGAACCCAATATAACATAACTCATTAAATATGAATGAATAAACGATTAGGGTCTGAGGAAAGTGTTTTTTGACACAAACCCGCTAAGGGTAGAGACAAAATTGCTTCACCCGACATGATTGACAAGCCTAATTGTACTCATGCGCTGTCAACTTAATCTTATTCATCATCTTAGGCCAGCCAAGCCAAAACAAAGGAATGAATGATAACAGTTTGCTACTTTTGAGTATGTTGTGAATCATAAATATTGTTTCATGGGGGCACCATCTGCCGTTATCTTGCTTATGCATTGTGGCCAACCTTGTGAAATTAACACAAAACCTCACAACACATTGAAATGCAGGGACAGGATTATTTATTTGTCAAAGCATGTGTCCCTTTTGTAGCAAGTGTATTGCTGAAAGCTTGCAAGGAATCAGATGATAGTTCTGATATGGAAGTCATATTGGGGGGTGTGGCTTCTATAAATGATGAGATTGCTTGGTTTATGAAAGAAGCTTCAAAGTGGGGTGTTCCATTAACTAGCATTGTTCCTCAGAAGGCGAACCTTGACTACTGCAGGTACCAGCCAGCATCTGAAATCTATATTTGTTATGTGACTCTTGACTCCCAACTTCAAACCATATTTAGTAACCATTGGCCTATAATGTGTTAAATTGTTAAAATGCTATGCCGTTTGAGCTATTAGTTATCTGAGGTACTGAGATCGCCCTGTAACTGGATGTTTTGTGTCGAATGAATTTGTATATATTTGTCTTCAGTTGCTCAAAGTTAAAATGCCTTACTAGACATTGAAGGGTCTTATTTTGTCTCCTTTCTTGCAACACATTCAAATTCTTTTAAACTAATTGTTTGGCATTCTGAATCATTGAACTTGGTTTTAAAGTGATAGAAGTATGTATTTCTATACTATATGTGTTACTTCGATGCTTACTAGACATTGGACGTGAGTGTTGGTTCAAGAAATTATGATCTCATTTCATTTGGGAGTTAGACATACTCTAGTTCTTTGACCTTCTTCGTAATCTGATCTGTTGAGACTCTTGCAGGTAAGTGCTTTGTCATCAGATTGAATTTCTAGTGAAAGTTTATTGGTGTACCTGAATTTGCAAAATATGATTTTGAAGAAAATTTCGATATGTTGTGTGTTTTTGGAAAACGATTCACAAATAGGATTTGTAATGAAAATTGTGTACAGTCTAGTTACATGTTAAGCTGTTGGGCTTTTTTCTTTTATGTTTGCTTCTGAGTGGTCCTTTTTATAACTGAATATTTGAGAAAATTTGCTTCTTGTTACAGGTTTTTGGAAAGCTTAACGAGGTCAGACGTAGAATACACAGTGGCCATCACTGCATTTTGGGCAATTGAAGCTGTTTATCAAGAGAGCTTTGCCCATTGCCTGGAAGATGGCTCTAAAACTCCAGAAGAACTTAAGGAAACCTGCCAAAGATGGGGCAATGAAGGTTTCAGTCAGTATTGCCATTGCCTTCGAAATATAGCTAATCGTTGTCTACAGAAGGCAACGGATGATGTGCTCTCAAAAGCTGAGGAAGTTGTATTACGTGTTCTTGAACATGAAGTTGGTTTTTGGAACATGAGTCGTGGGGAGTCCTAAGCGCTTATGTCAGATACGGAATATTGCATGACATATACCAGTTTGTTTTTCCTCGAGTCTGTTATGTTACACGCTTTGCTGTGTGGAGTGGGAGAGTGGTATTGTGTTGCTTTCATTAAATACAAGCATATGTATGTATAAATAAGTCATGCAAGTTTCTGGAGTATGTAAGTGATATGTGTAATCAAGTTCTTGATGTAGAGTGAAAGGCTCTTGAATCATGATAGCTTTTTTTCCTGATACAGACATAAGATTGCTCTTAGGGACAGCCCATTGAGTCTTTGTTGTTGGTCCTGCATTGGAGAAGATTCTGAAGCCATGATTGTGCATTTACCAAGATATGCAAGACACATTTGTGGTTAACTTTTGACGGAATTTTTCACATATGCATCACGTGAGTCAGAGATTAGGGTGTAGTTAAGGGGTCACGGGCTGTCCACATAAAGAACTCCGTCAAACTTAACGGCAAATTTAGACAGAAAGGTATGACACAAATGGTATAGTCTATGGGCTTGATTGACACAAAGTATAGTTCAGGGGCTTGATTGACATAAATAGTATAATTCAATGGTCAAATAGATAGTTAATTTTTTTTCTTTCACATAATGACAGTTTTTATTCATAACCAATTTAATAATTGTGATAAATTAGATCAACAAATTATGTCAATATATTAAATCTAATAACATTATTGTGTAATTGTATTCACCGTGAGAGAGAGATGATACATCATCAAGAGGAACATAATGAAAAAAAAAAAAATTAACAACAACAAATCAAGAGAACTCAAGAAAATAGAATAGAACTCCATTAACAAAAGGGCAGAAAGAACATGGTTTCATTGGACACAATCCAATAAGCAATCAACTAGAACTAATACTGAAATCCACCCGACAATAGAATCCGCCTTTAATCTAACGACAACAATAGATTTGATCAAAAACTTCAAAACGGGGAAATTCCAGCAGAGGTCATCATGGGCAGGCCCTGGACATGAGGCTGCCATGGTCTAAGCCAAAAGTCCTGACCCTGAGCCTGAGGAGGAATGTCCATTGCATTGCCACTTGACTCACACACATACCCTGTAACCATCTCAGCAATCTCCAACCTTTGTCTCAGTTCTTCACGCTGAGCTCTCAAAATCATGTTCTCAGATTCAACCACCGCAAATTGTTCCGAGACTTCATTGATTTTCTGAATGAACCCGTTGCGTTTTATAGTTCCATTCATGATACGGTCATTGAGATCCTTCATGTGCTGTTCTCTCTTCATCCTTGACCGCCTCGCTGATTCGCGATTCGATATCATTCTCCTCCGTTTCTTCTCGTCCATCACTGCGTATCTCTCTTCCTCTCCAGAAATTGAGCCGCTACGTTTTCCAGATGACATGTTGAATTTTTCAAAGAGTTTCTGAGGTTGGATTTGTTTATAAACAGATTTCAATGGGATAATCCGATTGATTTGAGATTGAGAAGACCAGAGATTCAAGAGAATACATAAAACCAATAGAGAAACACTACGGAAAAGGATTGAACAAGTCTAATTCTACGCAGCAGGGAAAAGAAACTCATATCACTAATGAAACAAGCTTAAGATCACAGAAGCCATAGCCAAAAATTCTAAGAGAAGATAAAAGAGAGGTGAAGGGTTGTGAAGATTATCCATGGCTGTATATGTAGGATTATTCTTGTAGAATATCTTGATGTTGGAAGTAATCTTCTCAGAAAGTCAAAGATGGGATGATAAGTAAGACTTTGTGAAAGACATGGTTGATTGACAGCGCACAATAGTTTTCATTAAAAAATGTAAAATTTTTGGATTGGATAAGGAATGCCCATGAAATAATGGATAACTATTAAAGTATGCGTTTTTTTATTAATTTTGTCTTTATTGTATTAATTTTATTAATTTAATCCTTAAAAATTCAATTTATATCACTTTAATCCCTAATCAGACAATTTGTCAAATTTTTTTATGGAAATGATCTCGTGTTATTTTTTAGAAGATATCACATGTCTAACACGTGATCATTCTATCAAAAATTTAACTGACTGTCTATGTAAAGATTAAAATAACACGAATTAAATATTTTAAAGATTAAATTGACAAAATTAATATAATAAATACTAAATTAACAAAAAATATATACTTTACAAACTAAAAATACTATTAACCCTAATTAGAAACAAAATGAGTTATCTTTGAAAGTTGATGATGGTAACCCTTTGACGAGCTTGTTATTAGGTGTTTATCCTTAATTATTGGGTTAAGATCCTATTAATTTCAAGGTTGCATTCTATTAGTTGTCTTTCCTAATTCATAAGATTGTAGCCAGTCAAGCTTTTTTCCTCTACTTTTTTTTTCCCCTTTTATCTTATATTAAATTCAAAATTTAGTAAGCAATATGTGGTGTATAAAGACTTTCCAAACTTGAACTTTAACCTTATCCATTTATTTTGGAAGTGGTAAAATATCACACTTTTTCTCAAATTTTTTTAATGTTCAAGCATCTTGAGCAATGTCAATCTATCAAATTTATTAATTTTATTTATTGATTTAACCACTCATAATTATTTGATTAACAGTGAATTTCAATATTTATTAAGACACTTAACTAATTCAATAAATGAATGAAATTAATAAATTAAATTTAAATAATATTATTTTTTTTCATAAATTCAAAAATATGTAATTGAAGTCACGTGAGTCCTCGTAAATACAAGAATTAAAAAAAAGTATAAATACAAATATGCAATGATTGCCACGTGGATGAATCAGACACAATGTAGCCCCGTAAAAAAAATGACACAAAAAACAAAGGAAACTCTATTGTATCAAAAAAATTTCGATATCGGTACCATCGATTATTATTTTTGTATGATAAAGTTATAATTTTTAAAAGAGAAGTTATGATCAATCATAGATATTCATTCCATAATCGATTATACCCTTTAAAGTAATAACTTATATCTCAAAATAATTATAATTTAACTTTAAAAAATTATAATTTTTAATATTAGTACCGCCTACGGTTCCTTAGAACTTCCCCTAAAACAAAAGGCTGCTAACAAAGGCACGTAAAGTATAGATTGGCACACGTGGGGGGAATTGTATAACAGTGGAGTCGTGAAGAAACTTCTTATCTGTTTTTTTTTTTTATGTAAAAAAGGGCTTAAACATATAAGCCAGCAGCCAAAGAATTCAAAAGTATGATCCTCTATTCAAAGTTGCTTCATCTTTCTAATTGTTAATTCATTTTTCCTCCTCTTATCCACCCACCTTTTGTTTGAGTCCAATTTGAATTTGGAAACCAAATTTGAAGATGGGTCCTCCATGGGTCACCACAGCACGACACATTGAGCTACTATTTATCCTTCTACTTGTTAATTCATTTTTCCTCCTCTTATCCACCCACCTTTTGTTTGAGTCCAATTTGAATTTGGAGACCAAATTCGAAGATGGGTCCTCTATGGGTCACCACAGCACGACACATTGAGCTACTATTTATTGAAAACTTGGTACAGTTGCTATCTCATTCAGGTTGTATGTAACTCTGTCTTCTTGTGGTAGTGTTATCTTCGGCACCAATACAAACAACCAACTAGAATTTATTTAGAGTTCATTTGGTAACGTTTTTGTTTTTGTGTTTTCAAAAAAATTAAAAATATAAACAATTTTTATATTTATTTTATGATAAACATTGAAATAGAAAGCATATTTAGGAGTCATTTGTGTCTATCAAATTATGAGAATAAAAATAAAAAATAAAAAACATGTTTGGTAATTACTTTAAATTTTATCCTTAAGTCTCATGTTTTTTCTTTCAACAATGATATTGAGACTTAACAAATTGAAATAATTTGATAAATTAAAGATGTGGTCAACAATCTCAAATAGCAATTCAATCAATCCTAAATAGTAATTCAAAAATTTTAAATAACAATTCAATTAATACCAAATGGCAATTAATCACAAACACAACACACACAGAAACAAACCAATGGTAAGAGCCTTGATAAAACCAACCCTTCTGCCTTTGAAGTCGTTGATTAGGGTTTTTAAAATGGTATGGTTGCCATTTTCTCGTCTCTTTTTTTTTCTAAAAAGAGAAATTTTATTTATTCACAAAAGCAAAACATTACAAGAAGCAAAAGAAAAGTATAAACCACCTTCCCATCATAAACAAATCAAAATCAAAAATACAAGAAGCAAAACAGGTCACTGCCTTTACAAAGCAAAAACCAACACCAAGACAGAGCTTCATCCAAAAATAAAATATGCAGCTAGCAAAGTCCCATCTAACAGCAAAACAACACCTCTCCTCATATTTCAAACAAATCAACACTTGAATTTAAAGAAAAACTATCAACCCTTATTATCAAACAACAGTCTCCTTCACCTTCGCAAAAATGGTCATCCCCTCACATCTTGAAGCAGAGCCAATCTCACTTCACAAGGCAGCCGTAAGTCAACCAAATAATCCAAGGATCTTCTAAGCATAACTACTTGATTAGACAAACGATCAACAACATTAGAACAAAACCCATAAATATTAGAGCATTTTCTCATCTCTTCTCTTCTTAGATATAAGCAACAAATATATATATAGGAAGATGAATTATAACAAAATTAGGGTTTATGAAAAAGCTACGATTTCTTCTTCATGATGCCATATTACATATGGACATAGTCATATACGTATATGTGTGTGTGAATTAAGTGTAATTTGGGAGATTTTGAGGAGGAAGAGAGACAATATGAGAGACTAGAACTGGATTGAAGGGGTTTCACATAGACGAGAGTGAGACAGAGAGAGAACATTGATGGAGGCGGAGGCGGAGGCAGAGGCAGAGGATCTGTGACTAGAAGTGAGCTTTCCTCTTCTTCGTTGATTTGTGATTGGAGGATGGTTCTTCGTCGATCTGTGAGTGGAGACTTCTTCTTTGTCAATCTGTGGAAGCTTCTTCTTCGTCATTGAGAGAAAGAGGAGAAGAGAGTCGTTGAGAGCTCTGGAGAAGAGAGAGAGAGAAAGAAGATAGAGTTGTTTAGGCAGTGGTGGTGTGTGTTATGTGAGAAAGAAAATGAAAAAAAGACCCCATATTTATACTTCATCACATGAAGTGGTCTTTTGTGGCTAACAAAACTCGAAGTTGAAACCTCATTTACACCAAAAGCACGTGTTTCGTGTTTCTTATGTTTCATAGAACACAATTTTTTTATTCTCATTTTTTTGGCTTGTTTCCAAAACAACTAAGATGAAACAAAAAACAAAAACAATTACCAAACATATTTTTATTTTTATTTTTAATAAAAATTGAAAAACAAAACACAAAACAAGAGACAAAAACAATTATCAAACAACCTCTTAGTTTGTGAACTTTGATTATCTTAAAGTTGTACAAATAACGAGATCAAAATATTAATTTTTACCAAAGACAAAGTTGAGGGTGCTATTGTGCCTTCTTTCGAACCTTTTTTTTTGTTTTTTTTCGTTCAATGGTTAAAGGTATTCAAGTTAGCTTATACGCACTTTGATTAATCTCCTCTCAGTCTGGTCAAATGCAGGTTATCCATGCCAAGACTAAGATATTTATGAAGGATAAATCTCTTATGACCTAATTTCAAAAAATTGTCAAGATTTAAATTCAGGACATTTGAATTTATAGCTCGTATTTGTTATCACTTGAGCATCCCTTTAAATTCAAGACTAAGATTTATCTCTCACGAATACCTTATTTTTGATGTGGCTCTGTCTTTGACTAGACCGGAGAAGAAATTAGTCGATGTGCGCGTAAATTGATTCAGACATCCCTAACCATTGAACAAAAAAAAAAAAAATCCAACCTCCATATTTTTCTAGCATTAAAGCCAATACTTTACTTTAAATCAAGCCATTTGGAGGCAATTAAATGGTTCAATCTGAAAAGGGGGATCACACTATGGATCCAACTCTTGTCTCTGGGAGCTTCAAAAGTGATTGCAAATGAGAAATTGCAGCGAAACTTCCAGAATTTTTCGCCCAAAAGAAGGATTCCTTTGGAGGAGGAGGAGTTGATTGAGGACCAAGCAGCCAGAAAGAGAAATAGACTGGATCACCCATCAAAGAGGGAGTTGTATATCCATCAAGCTTTTCAACTGGGTCTGGATACATCCTTAATTTGTAGGCTAATGGGCAGAGCTAGAGGAAAGAAGATGGTAAGGAAACATGCCTGCATCACAAGTATTAGAAGGAAAGCTCATGCGTTGTCTCAGTCAGATTTGTCCTTAGCACCAGTGGCACAGCAGGTGGCGGAGGACGTTTTTGCAATGCAGGAGGAGTAAGGGGAAAATAATCTTAACTTAAGCAACACCCAGGGGGCATCTCAGATTCAAAAGACTCCAGTGCAAGAAATTACTGCTTGTTTGTATTCTGAAAGGGCGGTGGTGGCTAGCCCCAAACAGCCACAACCTCCATGTTAGTTCTTTCTTGGAATTGTCGGGGAGTGGGGCGACCCCAGACAGTTCACACCTTGAGAGGGTTAATTAGTACCCATCGCCTAACTGTAGTCTTCTTAATGGAGACCAAAAATGGAACAGAAAATTTGAAACGACTAAGGCGCTCTCTGAATTATCCGCACGGTGAGTACGTGGAACTGACTAGTATTTTTGGGGGTTTAGCACTATGGTGGAAGGAGGAAGCAATTCTACAAATAAGGAAAAAGCACAAGAATATGGTCAATGTCCTTGGTAGACTGCGTAATCAAACTGTTGAATGGCAAGGTACTTTTATTTATGCTAATATTGATTTTGATAAGAGACAGCAATTATGGCAAGAGTTGATGGGGATGACTATTCATACTAGCATGTCATGGATTGTTGTTGGTGACTTCAATGTTATTGGATCAATTTGGGATAAGCAGGGGGACTGATTAGCAAGCTTAAAAAAGATGGAAGAGTTGCAAGGTTTCATCTCAGAATGTAATCTCCTGGATACAAATTTTAAAGGACCGAAATTTACTTGGTCTAATAATAGACCAGGAAGGGCAAATGTGCAAGAAAGGATTGATAGGGTTCTGGTAAACTTGGAGTGGAGTTTTCTTTTTCCCCAGATGCAAGTCATTCATGAGGCTCGTCTGGGATCCGACCATTGCCCTGTCATTATTCAATTGGTCCCCGAATGTAAGAAGCACTCCTTTTATTTTAAGTTTGAATCGATGTGGATGAAAGACTACAACTGTGAAGGAATTATTAAGAGTAATTGGGATGTTTATTTGGCGGGGTCACCTATGTATGTGATGGTGAAAAAATTGCAACAGTGTGGGAAGGAGCTTGCTTGTTGGAGTAGATAGAAATTTGGTAATAACAGGAAGCTGCTGCTTGATCTGAACCTGAAATTGGCTGAAGTCCAAAAGCAAGATACCACAGAGGAAACTCTTAGATTGGAGGCTGATATTGCAGCCAAAATTGACAAAATTAATGCAAGGGAAGAGAAGTTTTGGAAACAGCGGTCCCGCATAAATTGGCTGGAATTAGGAGATCACAACACGAAATTCTTCCATCAATCCACAATCCAAAGGAGACAACGTAATAAAATTTTGAGACTTAACACAGATGAGGCAGTGTGGCTTGTGGAGGAGGAAGAGCTTAACGTCCATATCACGGACTATTTTCACACTCTGTTTTCTTCTACGGGCCAACGAAATCTGGCTGGTGTCTTGGAAGGGGTGGAGTGTAAAGTCTCTGACCAAATGAACCAGCAACTTTTGGTGGAGATACGGATGAGGAAGTCTTCTTGGCAGCAAAGCAATTAGGGGCCAACAAGGCCTCAGGTCCTGATGGTTTCTCAGGGACTTTTTTTTCTATCCTTTTGGCACATTGTTGGGAATGATGTTTGTTCTGTTGTGAGACATTTTTTGTGAGCGATTTTATGTTGAAGGAGCTGAATAGAACGAACTTTATCTTGATTCCCAAGGAAGCTAACCGGAATCAATTGCACAATTCAGACCAATAGCGCTGTGTAATTTTCTGTATAAAATCTTCTCAAAAGTTATGGCAAATAGAATGAATGGAATGTTGCACAGTATCATTTCTCCTCAACAAGCTGCCTTTGTCCCCAAAAGGCAAATTCAAGACAGTATTGTGGTAGCAAACGAAGTCCTCCACTACCTGAAACTGAAGAAGAAAGGTAACATCCCAGATCTAGCTATTAAAATGGATCTAAGCAAGACGTATAAATAGGATAGAATGGGACTTCCTTGAAGCGACTATGCTTAAGCTTGGTTTTTGTCCTGGCTGGGTGCATCTCATCTGTCAATGTGTGTGCACGGTGAGTTTCCAGATAATGGTGAATGGTGAACGAAGAGGAATGCTTCATCCGAACAGGGGTATTCGTCAAGGAGATCCGCTATCTCCTTAACTTTTCATTTTGGCTGCTAATGTGCTGTCACTTTTCAAAAAAGGTGTGGACAAAAGGAGGTTCCAGGGGGTCAAAGTTCGCAGAAGGAGCCCTTCGGTGTCTCATCTTTTGTTTGCGGATGATTCATTGTTTTTTGTTAAGGCAAAGGAGTAGGGGATCAGGAACTTTCTTAACCTCCGTGGCTACGGGAAAAAGCATGAACTACAAGAAATATGACATTATTTTCTCTTCCAATACAACAACTAATCAGAAATAGTGTTTCAGCTTCCTCTTAGGTTTGCGGCCTTTGTCCCCAAATACTAAATATCTGGGGCTTCGTGCGTTTGGGTAGATCGAAGTTTGAGTTTTTGGATTTTTGTTGGAAAGGGTCCTGAAAAAATTGCAAGACTGGAAAGGGCTCTTTTGATCAAAGCAGTGATTCAAGCTATTTCCTCCTATGCTATGTCGGTCCTATGTTTCCCAAAAATATTTTGTGCTAAGTTAGACAAGTATGTTCGTAACTTTTGGTGGGGCAAAGGAGGGGAGCAGAGAGGGATTTATTGGAAGAAATGGATGCATATAATCGAACCAAAGATGAAAGGGAGAATGGGGTTCAGGGACTTCTCCTCTTTCAATCAAGCTCTTCTCGCTAAACAGGGGTGGCGAATCATCAATACTCCTAAATTTTTTTGGGTCCAATTCATCAAGTCAATTTATTTTCCGGAGTGTAATTTCTTGGAGGCTAAAAAGGGCTCTCAGCCTTCTTGGGTCTGGCGAAGCCTTTTGCAGGGACGTGTCTTGCTTGAAAATGGGTTGTTGTGGTAGGTGATGAAGGGGAATGAGATTAGAATTTGGGAGGACAAGTGGGTACCATCGTTACCTAAGGGTGTCATTCCTCCCCAAGACCCCACTCGTGCAATCTCCGTCTTGTTAGCGATCTCATAGCCCGTCCTTCTCAAATGTTGGACACAGAACTCCTAAATGTTCATTTTAATGTGGAGGAATGTAATGTTATCATGTCCATCACACTCTTGATGACTATTGGGGAGGATAAAAGGATTTGGCAACCATGTCCTAGAGGTGTTTACACTGTTAAATCAGTTTCCTCTTTGGCTATTGGTCTCAATTTTTCCATGTGTTTCGAAACCTGGGCCCCCCTTCTCTCCCTATCCGAGGTTATGGCATGTTATTTGGCAAATGAAAACTCTCCCTAAAATTCGGCATTTTGGTGGAAAGTGTGTAGCAATGTTTTGGCCTACCGTGAAAACCTGTTCTGAAGAAATTATGTCAGTTCCCCTTGTGCCAGATTTGTACAGATTGTATTGAAACCACTGAACATGCTCTTTTGGTTGTGCTTGGACACAAAAGGTATGTTTGGCTCAGATTTTGGTTTTCGCTTTGCTAAAAATATTCTTTCTCTTCCGCTTTGTAATGGATCTCTGCGGTTTTGGAGGTTATTAAGGATGTTTCTCGCTCTTTGGAGGTTATGGGGCATATTGCAACTCTTGCCTGTGATTTGGAAAGGGTGGAATCAGGCGATCCTTAATCAAAAGGCGTCAAATGTTTTGTCACTCTTCTCAATGCAAGGAACTTATGGGGTGAAATAAATGCAGTGTCACTGACTGGATGGTTTCC